CTCAATATATTCTCAGTACAGAAGTACATGCAAAATAATAGTAACAATACTAATATGAAACGAAACAATCACAAAACATCAACAACAAAGAAAATACAAAAAAAAAAAAAAAATGTTCCATGATATATTAAATCAGATCATGAAATTCAGATTCCATCTCATCTTTCAGGAATCTATTCCCAACACAATACCATTAAAAAACAACAGTCCAATTCTCCACAAAACAACAAAGATAACAAAAATTTAAGTTCTCCAGTTTTCAAGAACCTTCAAATCTACAAACTTTGGCCTGGTTTTCAGAAGAACCATCATTCATCCACTTAAAAAATATTGAATTTTTCCAAAAACCCTAACAAAATGAATCAGAAGCAACGAAAGAATGGAACAAAATGAAACCAACAAGGAAACTAACCCTTGTTTTTCAGGTGAACGGTGGAACGAAGCGAGTGAACGGTGTAATTGATGAAAGCGCTGAATTTGGAGTGGCCATGCGTTTGAAGAAACGCTTCTCCCTCAGAGGTTTTAAGAATAAATGCCAAAGCACGATAATGCCCACGCGCACAGATAGAGCGTGGCTTAAGTTGCTTGACAAATTGCCTTGTGTGTGTTTTATACGCTGTAAGGAAGAGAGTGGGCGTAAATATTAAGTACAGTTGTAGTAAATGAGCATATTCCATCACTAAATGCATAACATAGCCAAATTATATCCAGGTTTGAAAATAATTAAAAATAGAACCTATTAAAAAAAATGAAAATTAATAAACATTTAAATTATATTATATATTTATTATTTAAAATTCTACACTTTTATTTTAATTCCAAATTAAGAATTAAGAATATAATATTATTCATATTGTAATCTTGAGTTACTTCTCTCTATATTTTCCTTTTATTTGCTTTGTGTTTAGTTCTCCACGAGTTTTTAAGCCTTTTAGTTATATCAAAATTCATTTGTTAAATTATTGTAATTTAATTATTTCAAGCAAATGGTGATGTCAAATTATGTTTAATTATTGTGAATGACATTCATTTAGAATTGTTTTGTAATATAGATGTTGTAATTGGGATAGAAATCGGTTGTATGCTTCTAACCAATCTTGCTCTCATGGGAGTTAAAGAATTAGGATTAAACTAAAATAGAGAAAGGAGGCTTCTTAAGTTAGGCCTTTGTTGGACCTCTAATTTTTGTGTGCAATTTTTGGTGGGCCTTTATTTGACATAGCTTAATTAGTTTTGGTTACGTGTCATGATAATTAGTTAGTTAGTTAGTTGGACTCATGAGCCCAGTTGTTATAGAATCAATAGGAGCTTTTAATAAAAAAAAAATTATCAATATGGAAATTGATTCTGACCAAGTAAAAGAAGATCCCTCTTATTATGTATTAATGTTATATTTTGTGAGGAACTTTTTCAACTTATTATTTTCTTCGGGGTTCTAATATTGTTCTCATTCCTATATATAAACTTTTTTCCCTTTTTGTTGGGTCTTGCTTTAGTTAATTTGATTTTCATCAATTGTCTAATTACGTTTAATTTTTTTCAATTAAATAAAAATAGAAATGTAAAGTTATAATTTTTTTTTAAATGTTATAGTTGCCATTAAATATTACTACTTCAATTTCTAATCTTTTTTTTCTTTAATATTTTCATAAGATTAGAGACAAGGTAAAACATAACTATGAATACAAAACTTGTTTAATTATCTTTTTTTGTAGTATATTTTATGAAGAATTTAATAATATCATAAATAAGTGACATCAACACCCTTTAACTCTTCATTACAGCAAACATTAGATATTATATCTTTAAGTTTTGAAATCATCAATATATTAACTAATATTTATTTATTGTTAAAATTAATTTTAATGCAGACTTTATTTCAACGTTTAATTCTTTATATATATATATATATTAGGGGAGATGGGATGGAGGGTTAATAAAAGATTAAAAATATAATAAAAATATTATTATCTACTATCCAAACTCATAGGTATTAAAAAAAGTATACATAGGAATAAATATATTTTATATAAATTTTCAACGAAAACTTGTAGATAAAATCGGTGTGGATAATAATTAATTATGGATTTTTAAATTTATAATTCATTTTATATGATATTATTTATCGAAAATATTCATGAGAAATTACATAGACGTAATTATGTATGGATATAACAGTTGATAATTTACATATATAATTATATATAGAGAGTTATTTACATATATTTAAAACAGACTTATCCCATTTTTTTATAAAATTTTAATATTCATATATTTAATTATGTATTATATAGATATTCATTTATATGGACATTTATGTATATAATACTAAGATTAATGTTAAACACAAGTTAAAAATATATGATATTAAAAACAAGTTTTTAACCCAAATTCTTCAACACAAATATAGAAAATAAATTTAAAAAAATTTATTAATAAATCAAGACCATAATAAAAGTAATATATGTAAACAATAAAGTTAAATTTCTCTTATTTAGACGAATGTTTTTTACTTAATCACCTTCATCAAGTTGATTGTCTTGAACATGTTAATAGACCTATAATTGTTTATTGTTGTGTTGTAATTGAAAAATATTTTATACAGCAACTACTACAAAAAATGTTTGAATAGATTAAAATTGGAAACACATACGACGAATTTACTTTTTATTACATGATAGTTCCGCCTCACTAGTAGATTATTATTGTTTTAACTGTATAATCGCCTGTGAATCAACTAAAAGATGTTTTAATTTATTACAGGAGATTATTAACATTATCATCATAGTGTTAAAAATATATTCATCTTATTTTATCATCCATATGAATATAACTATTACGATTGGTTCGTATACTTAAAAACTGTATAAAAATTATTAAGTTAAGATGATGATCTTTACTATATGATTTTAAAATAAATAAATTCAGATAATAAGTAAATTATAATATTTGGTATAAAAAATAATGCAACTAGGTATTACAACATAACATAGAAACAAAATATGGAAAGTTAGAAAATAATAAAATTATCATGATTTAAATTATCAAGGATGTAACATTTACAACCAAATAATTAATTTTTTTCAATGAATAAAATCATATATATTTACTAAATTCAATCACTTTATACTCGATAAAATAAATTATTTTTATAATAAAAAATACACTATTTTCATAAATTTTATAATTTTACTGAAAATATATATCCATAAAATTATTAAAACATTAAAGCAATATTATACACGAGATATGGAAACACATTTAACTAAATTCACCAAAAACAATATTAAAAGTACTCCTACTTTTTATTTTTTACCAAATGTGGATAAAACTAAATTTATTTATTACTTCATAATTTTAAAATTAGATCGTTCGAATTGGTAATAATATGAGTTTAAAATTTAAAAGTTTAACCATATCAACCAGATTTAATAAATATAATATTTTTTAATATAATAAAAATATAATCAATTTATTAATAATAATATTTTAAAAAAATATAAAATAATAAAAATTATTATCATGATAATTATACATTACACCAAATATTATAAATATAAAATATATTAAAAAAATACAATAAAATAAATAAAATATAATATAATATAATTAAATAACTATTATTTAAAATTGATATAATTAATACAAGATAGAAAAATAAAAAAATATTATATTTTTTTATAAATAAATTATATTAAAAAATTGATGTTTATTTTTTTTATCAAAATTAGTTCAATTCAACAATTTAATCGATTTTTTTAATTTTTTCGATTTTATATCAATATTTTAAATTTTATCTGATTTCTCAACTCAATAATTTAGTCGATTTTTTTAATTTTTTTCTATTTTATACTAATATTTTTCATTTTATCTGATATATTTATAATATGATTATTTAGAAATAAATTGATTTTTATATTTAATCGATCTGTTTCTAAAACACCCGATGACTCTAAATTTTAATAACGATGATTTGAAATTGAGATGACTCTGACTTTTGTTGTCCATGAAAATTCTAACTAAACTTTACAAAAATATCAATTCCAAAATTATTTAAAAGAATATTTTGAGATCTAAACTAATATTAAGTATAAAACTCATTCTCACATTTTTCACAAGAAAATAGAGGGTTGGAAGAATTAGATAAAACACAACATGGCTGGTTGTCGAGTGATTCGTATGATGTGACGGTGAAGCACAATAAAAACATGTGAATATATTGAGTTTAAATAAATTTATTTGTGAATCCAAGTTTTTAACCGACATGGACAAGAGAATGTTCGGGTGAGTATTTGAGGTAGGCGACAGTTAAATGTTAATTTTTTTTGTTTACTTGTTATAATTGTAAAAAACATTGTAAATAAAGATTAATACACTAGTTTTGTCTAATAATAATAATAATAATAAATATTTCACTTATTAAAATAATATCCTTTTAGTAAATATGTTACATTTATTATAAGTACATATATTATATATTTTATTTAGGAATAAATTGAAAGTAATTAATATTCATTGGAAACTAAAAATATTAATCAATTTATTTACATTGAAAAACTAAAACTGTAATAAATTTGAGGACAAAAATTGGAAAACATCATCCAAAGAAATTAGTTTGAATTTGACTTTTCATGTGGAAAATTTGTTGATAAATAATCCATAAATATTCTGATAAATGTTTTAGATATAAATGTTTCGAAACTCAATCAGTCTAAACTCTATTGATTTGATATAAAAAATATATTTTAAAAAAAGTTAATCGTAAAACTAATTGTGATATCAGATGACAAATTTTGAAAGGAGATTTTTCCTTCTGAACAAATTATTGATTTGTGGGTGGGTGATTAATCAGAAAAGTTAATTGGATTGGATAAAAAACTTCATCTGAACCACTTTTGACAACTAATATTAATAAAAATGATAAAAAAATGTGAATAAAAAGAAAGAAGAAGAAGAAAAAGGACAGAGGGTAGGTGAGAACAAGGAAGCAGGATGAGGTGTCAGTGTGCGTGCGCGGTGTCTGAGTGTCTCTGCTTCGCACTCACATCACACACTCTTTCCATCTTCAACACCGCCTTCATACCAATTTTTCTATCTTCCTCTTTTCCCCAAGCTCCAATTCCAAACCAACACGTGGCAACCTTTTGTTGATGTGACCGTTGACCATGTCCTTGGGCCCAGCCCAACCACTTTTCAACTGGGCCCACCCACGGGTTGTTATTGCCTCAACTCCACAAACACCCCTTCTACACACTTGGTCCCACCTTTTCTTGGATTTTACCCAATGCGGTCTTGTACGTGAGCCCACCACCCCCACACCTCTGTCATCATTCCCAAATATTTCCTCAACCCCTACCAGGGCCACTCCCCTTTCCTTTGGGCTTTTCCACTTCACTTTTCTTCCCTCCCTTCCAAAACCCATTTCTTCTTATATTCATTATTCCTACACTTCTTTTCTTATAAAGATTATATTCACTCATTTTATTATGTTCCTCTTTCATTCAACAAATTTTGATTAGTTTAACCATGTATCTCTCTATGGACTTTTTTCCTCTCTTTCATTAATCCAATAAAACTGATTTTCTTGAACAAAACTAGGCAATTAATAACACCTTTCAAATATTTGACATTAAAGATTACGAACAATTATCACCACAACCAGTTAAATTTTCTTTTTTTTTTTATATGCTTATTTTGTATAATACGTATGACTAACAACTATATCGCACATTGTTCAAATATTTAAAACTTGAGTAACATTCAAATTATAAATTAAAAGAACAAATATTTTATAGAAAATATACAAAAATTGTCCGTAGTTAATTCATGCGAATGATATATATTACAAAATATTAAATATATTTTTGTCTTTTAAACCTTGACTAATTATTTTATTGCTTCAAGATTAAAATTTATGATTTAATCACCAAATTGTAAAATAATAATCATCTCTTATCGTTAAGGACAGACATAACAATTGTCGTTGTTAACATGCCTAATAACGTCCAATTAACAATAAAATTAATTAAATGACATGAAAGTTAGTTTTTCAAATTTTGTAGGTCAAACAATTTATTGTTTTACATTTTCTGGTTAAATTATCTGACGTAATGTAAGTTTAATATTATATAGGACGAGTTAAAACTAAAACGTTAAATTACCAAGTAATATTTTAATTTTTTGTAAGGTTTTAAACCTACCAAAATTCAATATAGCAAAATATCAACCATTCACACTTTCATCTAATTTTTAATTCAGTTTTTTCAATCTTCACAATTTTTCTTCCTTAATTTTATCATCTTCTTCATTATCTTTGTAGCTTCCATCATCCTCTTGTTTATCTTTTACTTCACAGTTTTTTTCACTATCTATTCATTTTTCTTTTCTCATTCTCTCTTTCTCTCCCTCTCCTACTTCTTATCGTATTGTATGTTTTTGAGATACATTTTATTTACATGTGTGTATTTTTTTACTTATCAACAACATTAATAATAAAGGACCAAAAACATTTTGTGCAATTCAGGATTAAAACAAACAATTATTTGTTTAAAACACTTAAAACAAATATAAGGAATCCAAGTATATTTAATCAAATTAAACATTAAAATATAAATACATACTTAACTTAAAATTAAAACGGTCAAAGCTAAAATTAAGAAGGGAATTTCAAATAATATTTTTAAAGGAAAGTACTAAAAAATATTATTTGACATTTATATTTAATGGGATTAAAAAATATAATATATATATATATATATATATATATATATATAACAATAATTTTATAATTATAATTGAAAATTGTTGTCAATTTTAATTTGTCGTTATACGATCAAAGTTATAAATATAATTGTATATATTCTTTCTTAATATATCTAAAATATTTTATTACTCTTATCATTATTTTAAAATATGACATTGAATACAATAAAATTTTTGACATTATAATACATTTATAGTTAAACATTCTTAAATATGTGTTCTACTATTTATTATCTACCTTTGACTTGTTTGATTTCTTTTTTCTTGAGAATCTCAGTTTCTAGTATCAAGATATCACACTGAAATTTTCGAAATTTTGAAATGCTTTGGGAAAGAAAAAGAGAGAAAATTGGAAGAGAATAATTAAATCATAATAATAAAAGAAAAAGAAAAGAAGCAAATCACCAAGGAAAGAGGAGAGAGTAAAAATAAAGATTAAAATCCAAAAATAAAATAAATAAAATGAGTAAAATAAAAAATTTAATAAAATATATAGTAACCACTCTAATTATAATCGTATATATTTAACGATACTTATAATAAAACTTACATTAAAAAGTCAAAATAATTACAAAATATTATCACTTTTTTTATAACAATTAATATAATGCATCACTTTTTTTAATACTTAGTGTATATACTATTTTTAATATTTAATTAAATATAATTAGTTATATATTTAAATATATTTAGTTTTATATTTGTAACCATCTCTATATAAAAAAATATATTTTATTTGAATTTTGAAACTTATATGCAACTATTATTTATTGGGTATGCATTTTGATATATCTAAATTGTGTATTATGAGAATGTATTCTAATTATAATTATCTTGTTATTTTCATAAAAAAAATACTTATTTAATAATTTTAATTTGAAAATGATTTCTAGAAATAGAAAAAAAAAAGATCATGGCAAGAGGTTGAGATAACTTCCACAATAAGTTATTTATAAAATCACTAATAAATTAATAAACAATAAAAATAAAAACACATTTTATTTGGTTTAATTTTATAATTTCAAAAATTAAAAATAAAAACTATTTTAATAAATAATTTTTAAAATGTTTCTAAAAAAATTGAAAGCTGTTTTAAAAAGAGTCACAAATAACTCTTAACAAACAAAGAAAAAGAAAAAAAAAAAGAAAACCCTTGTAAGGTGGGTTCACAAAGAAATAACATAGAACAGTTGATGGTTAATTGCAACAGTTCAATATGTAAACAAAATGTGTGAATATTATGGGAGAGAGAAACTGAACTGTTGAACAATTATGAAGAAGGAACAATCAATTTTCGAGGTTATGAAATGCCATTATTTGGATGGGTATATGTTGTTGGATATATAACAACAAACTAGACACAGATGGTTCATATAGGAGACAATAGATAATGATAGTTGATAGAGATAGATCAATTTTCCCCCCTTAATATAGATTACTCATCAATTCTATGTATAAATATGGTACTCAGATTATATCATGGATTCAAGAGAATTTCTGTTCTCTAGCACGTTCATCAAAAGACCATAATTACATCATAAAAATTAAAGAAAGAGGTTCAACAACAAGGGAACAACAATAACATGTGTCCACCTTTATGTTTTTATTCATTGGACGGTCATCTATCATGTCTTGGCTTAACCTATTTTCGAAAACAAATGAAACTACTAGACAATAATTTTTCATGTCATTTCTTTACACTTTATAGAGGATAAATACGATCCATAAAATATATCATTGAAAATTGAAAATTGAAAATCAGTAAATATTTTTTGATTCAATAACATATATTTGAACATAAGTATCATTAACCTTTTCCTTCCTTTTGTATATGTTCATTTACTAACTTACGTTTTTTTTACTTGCCTAATATTAACATAAGTGAATGATAATTAGTGGTCCAAATCAAATCTAAGCATAGATGAAGATTTTAGAAATAATCTAACCATAGGAGTGGATTAGGATATGGGATGATTATGTTTTCACCTTTTCATGATCACTTATTGGATTTTGGGCCCTTCTTTTTCTCATCTTCTTTTCTCACTTGTTTGTATTGGGTAATAGTCTTGCGCACGCCAAACCAAATCTCAATCATTAACATCCCAACTTAATCTTAGATTCTGAGAGTGATGTTTCTTTGATTGCACATAAATTACATCAAAAGAAGGTTTTAGAAGAAAAGCAATATCTTCCCTTTGACTATAAAATCTATAAACTTGACCATGTATATGGATGGAAACTGTCCAAAACAAAGTAATGAGACAGACAAATGAATTTAGAGACAACAATTTGGTATCCAAAGATTTTTAAACTTATTTACAATTATCCAAATTGACATGCATGATGACATATAAAAGAAAACCCTATAAAATTACACCATTTCAAGCAAAAGAATGACTAGTTATATCAAATTCACAGGAAAATGAAAAGTAACTTTTATATTGTTTGATTAAAAGCTGGACAGTGAATGAAAAGAAACTTTTAAACAAATTTCACCTTTTTTTTTTACTTGAATTCACTTCTTCTTCTTCTTCTTTTCATTTTTTTAACTATAGAAATTTGATTGATGAAACCATAATTTGATTGCAACTCTAAAATGTCATTAGTTTCACTTTTTACACTAATTTTCACATTGTTAATGCTTACTTATATAAATGATAAATCAAAAGAAAAAAAAATTCATCAAAAAATAGTTTCAATGTCTAATAAAATAAAAAATTTGAATGCACCCTCTCAACGTGCAAGCCTTTTAAGTTCATAGGAACACACTTATGAATTATGATCCAAGTTTGAGTAGCACAAAAGGGAGAGGTTGAGTTCCAAATTATGAAAATGTGCAAGTCTTTGTGCATTCTCAGTCAAACTTCTAGCTACAGATTATACAATTGTTGTAAAACTTAACTTTCTTAATTAAAAGTGGTTGTTAACATAAATTATTTAAGAATTTTGTTACATCTTCCAGCAAAGTTAATAAACAAAGACAATTAAAAATTAAATTACTTAAACATTAAGTATATTTTTCTATGCATTTAAATTTAAGTGAACTCGTGTCCGAGGGACTGAGAGTCCATGTGTTGCTCTATGGCTTGTGATGCCATTGTCAGCGTCTGTGCCAGCCTGCCATTCCCGAAGTCATAAAATAATAACATTACTGTAAATCAATATTATTTATTTAGTTTCTTTCTACTTTTCATACATAATTTTTTACTATTAGTGGTCAAGTAAATGGTTTTTTTTTTTTTTTCCAAAAATTACTTAATTTAGTTATCATTCTCAACTACAATTTCACCTTCTTAGATTAAACAATTCTAAAGCGATCATGAAACTAATAAGAAAATCATTTATTTAACATTTTTTTTTCTTTTGTTTCTTCATGCAGAGTCAGGTCCCTGGTAGCAGTTCTGCACCTTCACTCCCACTGTGTAAACAACAGCAAACCCAGCTGTAAATAAATTCTTCAGTGGACTATGCTACCCCTCCATCGTATTCCATTTACTCTTCCAAATTTTTCATTTTAATTGCAGAATTATTCATTCATGCAGTGTTTTATTTACTGTAGAAACATGTAGCGGTCAAAATCCCAACAATGTCCCTTCGGACAATTTTAGGTTAAATTGTATGTGTTACGTCTACTTGTTCAAGAACATCTTCTCACAGGACAATTTGGTCATAACCCAGAATAAAAAATATCGTCTCGGGAGTTGAGAGTTTCGTCACAATAAACTATAGTGCCATCCACCGATAGTATTTAACATATAACCGTTGAGGATTTCTATACAAAATAATATATTACAATTAAATTGCATTTTTTATATTATATTAAATGTGACTTGTATTTTACTATTTAAAACAAATATTTATTATATTTTAAATTTTGATAGGATGATACTCACACTTTTTTTAAATATTTAAATAAACCTCCACTTACTATATTTTTTTAAAAGTAATATTTAATGTTCTATTTATTTGTAAAATAAAATCATTAAATATTGTATGTAATAATTTTTTTTTAATTTTATACTTTTAAAATTTTAACTATTATATTTTATTTTTATTTTAATCAGTATAATTTTATAAATATAATAAATCTTATTATAATATAGAAATTCATTTATTAAAAATATAATTAGAAAAAATAATATCTATTTTGAAATTAGAAAGAATTTAAAAATATAAAAATAAAAAATCTATTTTAAAATTAAATAGTCATAATATTTTATTTATTAATTTATATTTGTCCAATAAATTTTTATTCCACTCGTAAGATATAATTTTGTAATATTTTATTCTGTTTTTTTAAAGAAATGGTTAATTTTAATTTTATTATTGTTTTATATAAAATAATTATATAGACATAAAAAAAAAGTTGATCTTTAAGATTGGAATGGTTTAAGGTTTGCTCTTTTTCTCTTTTAGCTGCAGGTATTTTATTCCATTAAAGTGACAAGAAAGTTGATTTTTTTCAAAACACTGAATATTGATTTGGTTCGGAAATATAGGATATTTATTTTACAATATTTTATAATATAAAAGTGAGAAATATCTATATTGTTCAATTCCTTCTATAGATTTTTTATTTAAACCCAAAAAATGGGAATGTAATAAAGATTTGAAAAATTGTTTTTAATTTGTCTCGTAAACACCACAATAATAATATTTAGCACCAAAGTTAGTGCACACCTTTGACCGAGGAAACGACATCTTTGCTGCTTGGCCCTTTGTTCGTTCCAAACATGTATATATCTCTAGTACACCCATTCACTTTTGTACTAAATATAATTAAAGACAAATATTAAAAAAGATATTGGTTGAAAAATTAGAAAAAAATAAAATAATGAACCTGTTTCTATCATAATTTTCTAGAACCTAAATTTTTATAACAATATTTTAATCCAGAAGGCATGCAAGGCAACTATGAGACCATCTTGACTAATAAGAAATTGCATAAAATGATTAAGAAACTATGGTGTTGCGTCATCCTAAGCACACATTAGATCTACACAGAGTCTAGTACACACCTCATCTCACCTCACCTCATCTGCCTGCAATGGTTGAATGGAATCTCTCACTCTCAGATTTTAGATCTCAAACACCCATCACTTCTTCTTCAATCCCAAAGAACAATAACTTCCAGAAACATAAATTTACTTTGAGACAAATTAAATAAAAATAAGTTAATACTTAAAGTTAAAATATTTTCAATTCTAATTTACCATATATGTGCCCTATTTTAGGTAGATAAGAAATTAAACTTAGAAACACCATCACAATGAACATGAACCTACTTCAATAAAGGTTCAAACCCAACAGATAAAACCACGATTAACAATTCTAGCTCACAGACAGAGAAGAAGAAGAAAAAAAAAAAAGAGGAGAAATTTCTTTGTACAGTTGACTCGAAGAAAAAGTTCATGCCCAACAAGAGGATCTCATACAAAGAGAAGAGAGATGAAGAAAATTAGAAAAGTAAAGAAAAAGAAAAAGAGAGAAGAGATTTTTTTTTTTTTTTTTTATAACTTGGTAGATCTTTTAGAGATGGAGCTTTTTGTTGTGCTCATGAATCACTGTACTCATGCCAGCATATGAGCATAATGACACAGCGTCTCATGATGTAGAAACGAGCCCTTTGCTCTTTGACCAACCTTGCACACTTTCTAGCAAAAGCACACTTCCTCTGAGAGGAGGAATTCTTCATGAGAGGGGAAGTGGTGCTTGATGAGCCTTCTTTCTTTGACATTTTGCACTTCTCACTACTATTCAAGCACAAAGTGTTGTTGTTGTTGTTGGAGGTGGTGATGGTGATGGTGGTGGTTGCACTACATGTAGAAGAAGGCATGATGAAGAGAAGAGAAGCAGTTGTTGACTTGGGGAAGTGAGAATTAGTGGGTGGAAAGGTGAGTTTACTGAGACTGAATCAGTGAGTGAGGGGAGAAGGGAGGAAGGGAGAGAGGGTGAATATTTATAAGGGGTTTGTTAGATTGGGAAAAGAACTAGCAGAGCAGATGGTGTGTGTGTGGCACTGGGTATCACCTGGGCCTTCCTTTCCCAATGCTGGCCCACCATCAATTTAAATATATCACCAGTGTAATAACTGTCATGTTGTTTTAATTTAATACGCAACAAATTATCATTTTTTTTAATGTATAAAATATTTTGTTATGACATTTTTAACTTCATTTTTTACATAGAAATGGTTAAAATATAAATTTGCTTTATTCAATAGTTTAGTTACTTTAGATTGATTTTAAGTTGTAATGACCAATGTCTTCTAAAATTAATAATGTTATTAAGAAAACTGGTTGGAAAGATATTTTGATTTAATAGAGACATTTTAAATGATTAAACACATTTTTTTAAAGAGATTTATTATATATTTAAGACTTATCTGTTTATTTTTTAAGTTTTTTTATAATTTATTTGATTTAAATTTAAATTTAATTTTTGTTTTTAAAAATGAATTTAGTAATTAATTTTTATAAAATATTTTTGGAAAATAAGTAAAAATAATTCGTATGATAATTTTAATTTTCTTAAATAATAAGTAAAAATTCACAATAAAATTTGAAAAATTATTTAAATGACTTCACGTCCAACAAATAAACCATACAAAGTAACAGGGGATGAAAAAGGCAACTATCATAAAAAAATGTTATTTGTTTATTTTTTGAAATTAATAAATAAAAATTGTTTCTATAATCAAACATTTCCTAACCTAATGTATATAAGATTTATAATTTTAATCAAAATAGGACAAATATTTAAACACATGATTTTGTTTATTTGATTAATTTGTTTCAATATATTATTTTAATAAATATGTAGACTATACAGATTTTAGATATAATTTAGTTTGACTTAATTTTTTATTGAGATAATAATGATTAAAACATGGTTGATAATTTATAAATGGATTGAATTAGACATTCATAATGTAGTATTTGTGTTATCCAAAGGTATATATATATTAATATATAGAGGTGAAAAAGGGTGAGGATTGAACGCAGCAAATCCTGCAATGGTGCTTAGCACATTGTTTGGTCTGGGAAGAATTGGAGTACCGATGAGGAATAAAAACTATACATACTTACATAGGTACACAGCTAAGTACCACTGCAAGCATTATTGAATAAGGATAGAGTAAAAGGAATCACTCAGAAAAATTACTTCACTAATAAGAAAATTGTAATAAGAAAAATTTCATCCATTTTAGCATTAATATTTTAACACTAATATCTACGTTGGCAAACAACAGGGTTATTTATTCCTTCACCTAATTTTTTTTTTTCATCTTTGAATTGAAATACCATCTCAATAAAATTTCAGTAGTAAGAGTAAAATTTAGTGAAAATTTGGAAGAACTGAGCGGGGTCAATTTGAAAATATGAGTTCAAATCAATGTGATTTTAGAAGATGAAAATTGGGTTGGCGGTGAAAAATTTCTTTTGTTGCAGGAAAAGAAAAAGAAAAAGAAAAATGTGTTTTTGTATGGAGGCAAAAACGGCCAATGCCGAAGTGATTCCGATAAAAGGAGAGTCTGTGACATTGTCACGGTTGGTAGCTAATTTACTGTAGATGATGTGGAAGTCACTTTACTTCTACTGTCAAGAGATAAAGATAAAGTTATGCATGTAAACCAACTCCTTGTATGTTTTTTCATCTGTAAAAGAGGATTGTCATTTTCTCATTGAAATTTTAAAATGTCCCGTGACATAATCTCTTTTAAGCAACTGACTCTTCTTATCTGCATTTGTGTTCCGCTGGTTCTTACTTTTTTGAATGGATTCATGTTGAACATGGTCCATAGTAACGTGCCTCCGCCTCCATAATATCGTTAAAAGTTTTAATTTTATCCTTTTACAATATGTTTCAATAACTTTTTTTATAAAACTTTTTAACTTTAAAATAATAAAATACATTTTTTAATGAGTTAAGTCATATAAAAAAATTAATTTTACAAAATTTAAACAATTTTTTTTATAACTTAATTTGAACTCATGAGTAATATTTTATTTTGTTTAATTTTTATGTATTTTACAAAGAAATCAATTAAAATTTGTTATATAATAGTTTTTTTTCTTTTATACATTTTGTAGAGGAATATATATGACAAGTTAAAATTATCTTATATAAATATTAATGATGATTTGTTTGGATGAATATCATTTAGTTGAAAAAAATATATTTTTTTAATATTATTAAATTAAATCATATCCTTACTTAGTTCTAGATTTTTTTTAGATACATTGAAACTCCAACTAAAGTGGTACAATAATTTCTACCTAAAAAGCTATTCTTCCTCTAAATCCTAACACATAATAAAAGGTATTTTTACATCTTAGTAGTAGTATTGAATTGAGATACTAAAATGACCTAAATTCTGTAGGCTTTTTAGGATTTTCAATAGGAGAAAATTAATAGATATTAAAAACTTATGATTCTCATTATCAATAAAAAAAAATGGCACATGATTGTACATATCTTATCCTGAATTGTTCAATATATGAATTTTCTTTTATAGATGATTTTTTGTAATGATTTCTTTAACTATAATAATTATTTTCTTTAAATTTACTCTTTCTCATTTATATTTTAATTTCGATGTTAGGGAGAATATAATTTATAACATCAATGTTTGATGTTATTTGGATAAATATTAGTATATGATTTGTGAAAATATGTATAATAGTTTGTCAATATGTCTTGGCGGTGGTAGTTATTACAAAGTTCTGGTGTTGTCGGTACGTACAGGGTGTGAATAATTGATCATGATGGTTAATAATATATTTTGTGGGTGGTGATTATGTATTAAGACATAGAGAATTATGAATTTAAGTGTGAATTAAAAATTTAAATATTAAATAAAAAGAAAATTTTAAGTAATTTATAAATAAAAAATATTTAATACTAAAAATTTTAAATTAAAAACAATATTACTTTTTTATATGATTGATTTGTGGTCATAATTTTTTTAATAATTTTTAAAATTTTATCTTCTTTATATATATATATATATATATATTAATACAAAAGAAAATTATATTTGAGGGTGTTTTATTATTTTACATTAAAAATATGAGTAAATAGACAATGAGTTCATTAGAACAACTAATATTAATATATATTACTATTAAAACTTAATAAAAGACTACTAAAAATGTTTTTTATATTATTATTATTATTATTATTATTATTATTATTATTATTATAATAATAGAGAGTAATATAATATTTATGATGTGATATATAATGATAAAATATATGATATATTATATTTATAAATAAATTTTAAAAATATATTTGTAATAATTAATTTATCTTATTTTTTATCTATATATAATTTTGAAACTATTACTATATTTAAAAAAATTCAAACATAAAAATAGATAAAAGGTGTATGATGGTTTTAAAAAATTAAAATAAAATTAGAAGAGTATAATTATTGCGTTCATAATTTTTCAAGGTTGATGAATGAGATCAAACACAAGTAAGACCATGAAATATATAGAATAATTGCTAAAAAAAAAATTTCAAAGATGAAAGTTTTGTGTACCTAGAGCTAAAGCAATGAAGAATCAATTGGAGAAAGAAATGCAAAGATGGTTACATTGAAATTGCAACATAGTCTACTAAGATGTAAATGTTGGAGTGGAGAATGATATTTAGTGTTTTTATTTTTATTCCTCTTTAATTTATACCGTGTTTATGCAAGTGCAATGTAGGTGATTATGTTCAATGAGTACTTGTCACGAAGTTGATCATATGATTACCTATGTATGCATATCCAAATGTTTGGACCTTCTTATAGGAGAATCTTCTAAGCCTTTGTTAGACCTACTCTAATTCATTTTTCTATTAAGAACAATAGGATAAAATCTCATAATAAATGTTTAAAACTTCTACATATTATATCATTACACTAACTATGTTGATGAATAGTTTCTACTAAGAAATTTCACTGACAATTTTTAATAAAATTTCTCTCTCTCTCTCTCTCTCTCTCTCTCTCTCTATATATATATATTTTGCATGTTCTTACTACTTCTTAATTCATGAATAAATAAATGAAGGAAATAAATTTATGAATCGTTTTCTATAATTATTATCTGTTCCTATTATCCATACTTTAACAATGATGGAGGCAACAAGTTCTATATGTAATGTTAATGGCGCTATCATCCTGAAACCTGTCTCAGATTCTTCCTCATTCTATGAACACATTCCATGAGAGAAGCTAGAGTTATGAAAGAAAATGATGCAAATTGAGAGAACATATAAAAAGTGTAAGGACGGTCCCACCTAATTGAAGGATCATCCACCAATAAGATAAGGTCACATTCAGATAAAAAATAAAGCAATAGTTAAATTTATACACCCATCTAACTATTGTTGTAACTATTTACTATGAATATTTTATATAATTGAAATTATAAATCAAATACTATTTAATATAAAATCTATGATTAAAATTCATAATAAATATCCTTAACAATATAAATTATATATTAGATGCACAATAATTCATAATTTTATTGTTGTTTTAAAGATATTAAAATATAATTTATAGATAGAGATAAAATAAATAGATTGAAATAGACAATTAAAAATATAAATATAAAAAGAAAATCAAAGAGTAGTTTAAAATATTTGAATGATAAATTATTTTTACTTGTTGTAAGGATAATGTATGAAATATCTTTTCAAAATGAGATATTTTCAAAAAGAAACTCATTAATTTTTTTTTAAATTATCATTTGAAATATATGTTTAATTTATAAACGAATAAATAATAGATTTCAAATATCGTGATGGTTAGATGACTATACAAATGTTACGTCTCATTCCCACTTGATAAGGGAGTTGTTCTCTCCCCTTTTTTTTCTCTCTTTTCTTTTTGGACGTTGTTCTTTAAAACAAAGTTGCTAGAATGGGATATTTTTGGATGAAAGCATAAATTTCACTATAACTTTGACACACAAATATAGCAAGTCTAATGTATCAAATTCAAATTCAACAACAATAGTTATAAGTGCCTTAAAAAATTAAGTAAAAATAAAAAATACTTTTAAAATTATTCGATTAAATTTTCGAATTGGTTAGTAATTTCATTTTTTCTAACTTTACTTGTTTTATCCTAATTCAAAGTAAATTCCATGCTAAACATATTATTCGTTCAAATCAATTAAAAGGGGCGCAGGTAAGATAGTTGTGAGAAGAGTGATTTAAAGTGTTAAAGTGATAAAGGGCAATTAGACAAGAGAGTTCTTAACCACTTAGGACCCTCTTGATTTGATAGATCATCATTGGCTTCTAACGAAGACACTTTCAACGTTGCAATGACAAGTTCAATCACATTAGCAACATGTTGCTCACTATCTTGATTTAAGTTACAACATCTGTAAAGCTACACGTAACCTATAATGATAAAATTTATGTGCCGACATTCAAACATGTGTAAAATGTGGGTTTTCAGTTTAAGTTTGGGATGAAAAAGTAACCTCAATTAATCATTTATGTTATTTCTGATTTATAACCATGGGAGAACAAATTGGGTGATATGCGCATGTGCAATCACCTAATGAGATAGATATATCTGTTTATGGCCTTCTAAACAAAAATATCTCTCCCCAAAAACAAGAAACGGAGAAGAAAGAAGAAAAATGGAAATTTCATTAAACTCAACAATAAGTTCCAAATAATCACTTAGTTACAACCCTTAAGGAGAAGTTAGACAATTGTGATTCTAAAAGGACATATATATACTATTGCATGGCTGTTAAGAAGAAAAGGAGTTTGATATTGCATGTTTGTAGTTATTTTGTCTTGTTTGTTTGACAGAAATGATGGGTTGATGTTGGCGATAAATATGGATTCAAAGGATGACGTAGAGGGTAATGTGGTCGGTGGGGGACTGGTGCACTGTGTGAATTCAGAGGCAGAGGCAAAACCTTGGGTACTGCACAAATGTATTGGACACCTAACCTAATCTGCTCCTTTTCCTTTCCTCTATCTATCTCTCCGGTGACACCTATCAACTTTGTGGTTTCGGCCAAATCAAAAGAATCCTCTTGTAATGCTCACCTAGATTTTATGCTCCTTCACCTCCAAAAATAAAATACATCGTAATAATAATAAATAAAACAATTAGGCATTTGGGTTTGTAATTTTTATTATGTATTTTTTAAGTATATCTATATATTATTGGTAGTTTTTTTCAAGATATTGAAATTATTCAGTGACGTTTTCTGCTTTGGGGAGTTTTGGTGGTTTGATTGTGCGTTTTGTTTAAGGGGGAAATTGTGAAAGGGGGCAAAGGACAAGAGAGCATAGGTAGCTAATGATTGATGTGAAAGATAGGAATCAAGCAAACCGCGATGTTAAATTACAAATTAAACAAATATTTTTTTGCTTCATAATCTTTCTTAACCTGTTGTCAAAAGCCTTATATTATAGTGAATGCTGGTGGAGTATATATATATGCACATATATATCTTTTAACAAAATGATATGAATGTGATGCACCAATGCAAACTTTGGTTGAGATGATACACATTTTAAGCGCGTCTAAGCCTCTAAGCTGTAAACCAAACCCAACCCACTCTATCAGAAAACAAGTTCCGTGATGTTTTTCTTGCAGAAAGCAACATAAAATCTTGCATGTCAGCAACAAAGAAAAGAGAAAGAAACATATCAAGAACATAGTAAGTTCAATGGAAATTCATGCTGCTTTCCCTTAATTAGCTTGGTTTCTTTCCCTTCTTTTCAGATAATGTCTAAATGTAGTTGCTACAGCTGGAGTTGAATGAATTAGACATTCTTCAATCAGTCTGCTATTTGCTCCTTCACTTTTTTCTTTTATGGATTAATTCCTAAAAGAACTCACTAGTTAAGTTGTCATTTAAAGTACGTAGTTGTGGAGATTTTATTTATTTTAGGTTTTAGAATGTAGTCTTCAAGCTAAGTAAAAACGAAGTTAAAATGACTATATATTTAATTTCAAATATTTTCACATGTTTTTTAATTTATAAAAAAGTTGTTATTTTTGGTAATAATAATTTTAATAATATTTTTTATATTACCATAATAATAATAATAATAATATTATTATTATTATTATTATTATTATTATTATTGCTATTGTCTCTAATATCAACACTTTTTTACTTTTAACTCTATATTAAAAAAGTGATTCTAAAAAATAAAATCATCGTAAGCTAAAAACTAATTTATAAAATCTAGATGTAACTTTAAAAATAAATTAAAACTTACACTTTAAAATAATGTACAATGGAGCCCACAAATTAACAACAATAACAAACTTTAATTATTCATAAAATAGCACATATTTTCTCATGCACTATTTTACTAGATTATGTAATGATTTTTTTTTCTTTGACCTTTCATACTTTTTAAGAAATGCTATACACAAAGCGTTTCAAGTTAAGCTTATCAAGTTCAACCACATCAAAACACTCGACAAGATATACAGTGTCATCTGGGATCATGGGAAGTTGATTAATATCATAGTAACATGCATGATAATACTTATAAATTTTCTATATTAAGTTTTGCACTTGTGATCACCTTTGTCTTATTATGATATGAATTTAAAAATATTTGGAATCTTACTACAGCGCGCACAACTGGGTGTGGATGGTCAAGGGAAAATATTCTTTCACCAGCTTGTGTTTATATCACTAAACTAATCATGCTTATTTAAAATTGCACGCCTTATATATCTTACTTTTCTGTTTATTAGGCCACTGTTATTCATAATATAGCTTAAGGTAGAGAGACATTAAGAGACAACAAATCTTGCTAACCAAATACTTGCCCTTTTTTCAATGACTAAATCTGAATGATTTCGTTTCATTATGTCACGTATATGAATGAATTCTGATCATTAACTAGTCTAATCCTATCAATCTAATAACATACTAAAGTTATCATTGAATTTTGTCCCTGTATTGGTTCACTCCAACATCAAATCCATGCATATTAAATAAAAGCAAAGAGATTTTATATTCAAATTTAAACTTTGTTCCATTGTCTACAGATTAATAAAATCACATGTTGGAAATTGTGGCAGTTTCTGACATATCTTATTCTCACATATTAGCTAAAAGAACCCTTCACCTTTTCTTTCTTACAACCAAACAAAGTCACAGCAGCAAACTTTGTTCGTGAACTGTAGAACACATAGTCCCAGACATAATTTTATATCGGTCCACTTTCACTGGTGGATTCTATAATGAATTTTTCTTGGTTCTACCTTTTGTTGCATGGCTGTTTTGGCAGGTAATACCGGTCTTAATTAGGTTGTGGACAATCTTTTCCTCTAGCATGATATATAATCCACTTCAAAGAATTAAAAAAAATGTTGGGAATCATAACAACATGCATGACGAAAATTTTAATCTTACAGGCATAAAGAATGTAAAAAAGACAATGATATTATTTGACCAAGATATGGGGTGATTTTATGTTTGTATATTAATGATGATTAATTTATGTGATTGCACACAACACACACGCATAAAAGAAAACACAATTTTCCTCATCTTTCTTTGGTCGTGTTTGCTTTTTGTTAGTTTACTTTGTTAGGATCGAGCGCTTACCACTAGGCCAAAAGCTATAACCATTAGTCAGAGCGCAACTCTTTTTACTTTAACAGCCCAAGCGCCACGATTCAATTGTGACTCGGCCCACCTGACCTTCGTCACAGGACAATTGATGCTACCTGCAACAATCTCCCCCTCAGCAATTGTCCTACAAGGTATCCCACTCTTGGATTGTGACTTGGCCCACCCGGCCTCTGCCACGGGACAATTGTGCAACCTGCAACAATCTCCCCCTCAACAATTGTCCACCAGGAATCGAACTCGTGACCTTGGCTCTGATACCAATTGTTAGGATCGAGCGCTTACCACTAGGCCAAAAGCTATAGCCATTAGTCAGAGCGCAACTCTTTTTACTTTAACAACCCAAGCGCCACGATTCAATTGTGACTCGGCCCACCTGACCTTCGTCACAGGACAATTGATGCTACCTGCAACATACTTGACTGGTCAAAGTGCATGTTACGATAACAAAAAATGAAATCATAAATTTCAAATACGGCTTATGCATACAAGTTATGAACCATGTGAGGTGTCGGTTGAAAAATCAGAAACTGGCTACGCATGTGGTGGTTACTTGATTTTGTTTACAAATTTGGGTAAGTTAATAATTAGGAGAACTTTTTGTCCAATGACATGCCATGTGTTCAGAATAAAACGAAATGAAGCTCGAAAACTATATATAGACATAACATCCAAGACAATAATGACATTCAAATACACAAGCATTGGGTTCATTCCAATTAAACACATCTGACGCAGTTACTTCATTTTATCAGAAAAATTTATATAAAATATCGTACCATATTAATTTTCATAAATAAGAAGGCACCGTGTAACAAAAAATGATCAACCTCTATGTATGAAAATTTTCTACGTGCTTAAGTGTTGAGAGATACGTGATTATAAATACTTTTCTCTCGTCTTATCCAAAACACTTTTAAAATAAGTTTGTGAAGGAATTAATGAATATCAAAATAGACGATATTTTGAACACAAACATCTTAAACGTGGTGATGTAATTGATGTTACCCAACCTAGGTTCATTCAATGAAATGTTGCGATTAAAATTTTATGTCCAATTTTTGTTCAAGAAAACGAACTAGAAGTTGAAAAACCAACCTAGAAGACAGCAAAATTACATGCAACAATATCCTTGGAATAGGGTACATAAGCTACTTTTGGCAACATTAAACTTTGTTGATGGCTTGATGATGTCGTCAATTTTGTCCTGCACGATAAGGTTGGCTTGTTTTCCTAATTCACATGCCACAAATATGTTCATGCAACGAACTTAGACCAATAATTCATGAGAACAGTGCATAGTGCTCTGTTTCAACCATTTCGCAGTTGCCAAAGTCATTTTCTACTTATCCCCCTAACTAAGACCAATACTTCATTTGTATTCAAAGTATTAGATTCTTTACCCAACACAGTACTGGTTTTTTAAAGCTTCAATAGACCATCCAAGGGACACCTTAAACTGAAGTAGGGAACATTTTTCTCATATTATCAATGCTTTCTGCAAAATTCATTCTACATATACACACAATGAACAACAACTCCAAAAATAAAAAAAGCAATTTGGTCGGTTTTCAAAATGCCTCCTTTGTGCATTGTAGAGTCATGACTGATGAAACATACAAAACACAATGCAAAAAAGCAGAGAAGCATTAGAGTCTCGTATTATTCTTCTAGCATGCTTGACCATTGACCAATGGCATACATTCATCCCAAAAGTTCATAACGAATGCAGCAACACAAATGATGTTGAGTAACTCCAAAAGCTTAATTTAAACTATGTTGTGTATTTTGAAGCTTTTTTTCTTAAAACACTCCTTCCATTCCACCAACACGTGTAAAAATGGTTGGTTCTAAGTCTGTCATATTTTTTCAAATTAAGAGGTAAATACTGTGTCTTTATCTTCTAACATATTCAGCCTTCGTTTGTACCATGCAAACATATTTGTTGCAGCGTGAGTGAAAATACGTTAGAATGATTTGGACAAATTTTTCGGCACGCTACCAAATTTAAACACTTCTTTTGCTGCCTAGGGAACGTGCATGTCATCATGAATTAAGGACGAGAGTTACATGACATGTAAAAACCATTGTAAGTGAAATGGGGAACATGGACTCTTTCACTAAATTTCATGGTGAACTTTGATAAGGTTTCTTCTTCCATTAGGCGAGTGACCAGTCAAACATAAACAAATGCATGCAGCTGCGCAAGTCCATCAAAATGTTACATATTAGGTCCATTAATCCACATGAAAAAACTCAAAACTGTCAATTAGATATTTAATTAAACCTTCCATAGGTTCCGTAATTCATAATTTCTCCCATTGTTTTATTGAACATGAGCAAAAACTGCGTACCCTTTTGATACCGTCCTTCTTTAATCATTTTCGTTTGTTCTTTTATATATTTCATTATGAACAAAATCTGACTAGATATATATAACATTCAGTTTATCTCTCTGCAAACATGTTAATAAAATACCCCCTTAGTGTAAACTGAACAACATGGAAGGGCAACCAAAATAAAACAATCTATATTAATGTTCTAATAATTATTAGATGCTATAATAATGATGGACATAATTATGTTCTCCATCAAGATTATGGATTTGATCACAGATTAAATTCCTTGATCATGGATCAACTTAATATTAAGGAAAAAAATGATAAGTTGAGAATGCATGCTATCTTGTTGTGACAACAAGAATATGTTAAATTCTGTATTGTCCATTGATAATAATAAGCCTTTAATTCAGTGAATTTAAGGAAACACTCATAAACCATGTTTCATTGTCGATGCAGGGGAAGCCATTTTCACAAGTTTCGAAATGATAACGTGTTCAGAGTCTTTCATCCCTAAAATGTTGATGAATGTAATTGTTAAGAAATTAAAACAAAAGCTCCATTATGTTGCGTTAAAGGAGTAAACTAAAGCATTCTTGGTTAAAAATTCATGAATGGATTTTATACACCCCATTTTGAAATATTCAAATAGAGAAAATAGGTAAATGTCATTTTTTTTTTATAATCTCTAACTTGCTTTTATTTCATCACTCAATAAATGTGTGGAACCAGATGATTGGATAGCTCTATTTTAATTAATTTTCAGTTGTGGGTGAAATATCACATGCCTCCATGAAAATAGAACACCACACCATTATTGAAATTGTAGCATTATCCATTAATAACCCTAATTAGTGTGAAAAATGAAAATGTCATAAGTTATATTTGAGTATATACAATTGATTCAGTGTTCAAATTGACACCTTTACTTGTTCAGATTGCAATTTTTTTTTATTCTTAATAACTTTTCAAAAATATTAGTAGTGATGACTGGTCTAAATAAGCCCACATGGTGACGAAAACATAAAACTTAGCCCAAGCTAGGTCTAACATCGGCCCAAACAATAAGAACAGGCCATGATACTCATAAGAATGTTAATGAAGTATAACAAAAGACGTTTGGAAACTTTGTCTGAAAATTTTCTAAATTACTGTTTCAGTGATTTAATAGGCTTTATTATTAAATATGGGTTTACAAGACTTTTGATTCCATGGTTGTTTTTAGAGCAAACTAATCTACAGATTGAAAAATATAACAAACTAATATTTCTTTATAATTTGTACTATTTTTCTTCTGTGTGATACAGTAGACAAATCTTGGAGAAAATTATTTGTAAGACAATGCAGTCTTTTTTTTTAAATAAATAAAATATTATTCCATAAAATTAAACATATAAGTTGAATAAATTACTCATTAATTATGATATAAAAAAATTAAAATAATTAATTATATATTTTTGAATAGTTAACTATTTTTTGTACATATTTTAAATGTATTATGATTGATAAATGATTAATTGTGTTAGGATAATGATAAAAAAATTCTTATGCATTTTTAACTCTCTTTATTCAAAACATAATTGTGTATGACTTAAAATTTATGTAAGTAATAAGTTTATCCAAATTAGGCTTATGATCTTAACATAGTCTAATATTAATATAAGATACTTAAAGAATGATTTAATTCATGTTATAAAATATTAATATCACTTTTATAAATAAAAAGTAATTAAAAATTAATTTATGTAAATTTTTTATCTATATATATATATATATATATATATATATATATATATATATATATATATATATATATATATATATAAAAGATGTTTCCATCTAATAAGTCAATGTTATTATGTTTAGTAGGTAAAATTATTGAAGTATGTTTTAACTCTTCAAATAAAAATATTCTCCATTCATGTAGCTAGAAATCAAATTTCTAATGACATGTTAAAGAAATTAAACTCTCTATTAACTATGTGGGATCCAGTTGGTAACTAAATCTATTAATTGTAAAATTTAATAATATTCTATAATATTTTCTACTGAAAAAAAAACTACATTTAATTTCTTAATAATTATTTTTTCGCTTGGTTTGACAGAGGATAAATAGTGGGAAGTTTATGAGGAAGTAGATAAAATAATTATCTCTAAAATTTGGCATATTTGGTAAAGAGAAATCGTCAGAAAAAAAAAATGGCTGGAGACTGAAATTCTGATACCTAAGAAGAAATAGTAACTCAGAAAGTAAGTACCTAAATTAATTACTTTTATTATGTCTTGGTCACTATTTTTGAGTCGTCTTTCATCACTCATGAACTTTAGATTTGTTTCCATTATCACTATATACACTGATTAAATATTTCATTTTGATCTCAATGTTCTTTTCCATACTCTCTCTCTCTCTCTCTCTCTCTCTCTCTCTCTCTATATATATATATATATATATATATATATATATATATATATATATTTTCTATTTTCATGTGTGATAATTGTTTTTTAATAGATTAAACGTGTAATTAATTATTGTTTAATAATTGATTTTCACCCAAGAAAAACGTTTTTCTAAGTTCCCAAGAGAGTTATCATGATAATCCATTCTTGATTGTATTGTATGTGAGCTTGCTCATGTAATTTAGTTTTATTATTTATAACTTTATCTATTTTCTTTCATTTCATGATAAACTAAACAAGTTGACAAAAAATTCTAACGGATTTCTTTTTCAATTTTACTCTTTTTCTAAAATCAAATAACTTAAAGTTCTATTCTATGAAAATGTCAAGATACTTTCATTAAAATTAAATCAACACAACTTAAATCAATTACTCATTAATTTTTAATAGCACAAAATAATTAAATCCATATATAATCCAAATTCGATAGAATGAAAGTATAATTAAACTATGCTCTATTAATAACTTTTATAGTACATAGGATGACATGAGTCGCTACAAATTTTACGAGGTCGCCTTTAATTTTTGAAAATAACTTGTTCCACCAATCGTGAACATGTTTGGTGACATATCATTTTATTATACGAGTGCATACAATGAAATTTAGTATCTGAATTCCTGTTATTATTATTTTTTTCTTGACCTCTATTCTTGGGTCTTCTTCAACAGTTAAAGAAAGCTCTACTGTTCGGGCCCTCCTCATCTTGTAAAACCCTAAAAAATTGGTTGAAATCAAAGTTAAACAAAATACTAAGGATTGGTGGAACTTAAAAGATTGGTCAAAGAGTCTTTAAATTCTTAAAAGAATATAAGACTTTTTACAGTTTCGGAACAAGTTTGCTTGTACATTAAGTATATTATAAATGCTTTGTATATTTTGGTAACGTAGGTTAAGTTGTGAATAATAATAATAAATTTACATGATAGAGATAAATTTGAATTGTGATTCTACAAACATTATGTAATAGTGCAGAATTTCATTGGTTTCGACCTCCATGGTTGAGTCAGGTTGTTGATATTGGGTAAGTTATTAATGGTTGTTTGTTGTAATTGGATTGTGTTGACAAGATTCCTGGGACCACAGGCTAAACTACTGAAAAGTTACAAAGGCTATGGTGGGGTCATGTTCTTAAAAAATGTAAATTATTCTTTTGGTACAATGGCTTATATTTTTGCCACCTGCGAAAGATGAAAGAGGAACTGCTAGTCTTTCATTCCGTGTTCTTTTGCTGTAAAAAACTTGTGAAAAAGCCAGAGGAAACGTCGTCATTTTTTGGCCAATTCACTTTTTCTGCCACATTTTTCTTACGTTGTTGATTGTTCCCTCCTGAACCTGGCCCCACTTGTGACTTTACGTCCAAGATCATATGCATATATGCATACACACACATACTCTATCAGAATAGAACACTAGGGAACCGCAGCAGACAAAATAATAAGACATTTTCTTAGATTCAAATCGCAGTGCAATTTTACTGCCACTGGGAAATGGTCAAATCAACTCTCATCATCACCCATCACCACTCTCCCATTTCTTCACCACTTAAATTATCAATCTAAACAAACAAGAAGAAACCACAATCATATATTGCATTGCGTTGCATTGCATGTCATCCTCATCCTCATCATCATCACCATCATCATCTTCATCTTATATGCACTTCATGCATGTGATCATCCGCAGTCACTTTCTATCCATAAATATCCACTCACTCTCACACCCTCCCCCGATTTTTCATTCCAAAACCTTTAATGGCTTGACGAGAGATTTTCTTTCCACTCAATTAGGTCCTGTGGACGCAGAAGAAAATTATCACGCTGATTAAGTTTTGATCAATTTTTATGTAATATATAGTCAGATTTTTTAATTTTTTCTGTGTAATGTTATGGGTCTGAAAACAAAAATTAACAACATATTTTCTAACATAAGAAGATAATTTTACTTCGACCAAGATAATACCGGTTAAGTAAAAAGTTAATAAAACTTAATTACATATCACGTATCACGTAATAATTTTTTGCATGAATGAGGTAGAGGGTCCTTTACCTCAAGGACAAGAGCCCCACACCAGGAGGAGGCAGAGTTAGTGTCTATTATGTAACTCAACACTAGTAGTACCACACTACCCAGATTCCCACAAGTTTATTAAAATCCAACCTTTCACCCTCCTTCTGATGGGATCGATTTGATTTGTTTTGGCATGAACACGACTACCTAAAAATTCTTCATTATATAATTCACACTGATGTAGCAGCCAGCCTGAGCTGACACAGAGAGACTACCCTGCTTGTACAAACACGTAAATCACTTCCCATAGCCACAAACTTACAGGTGGATAAACGGGTGCTGCACCCTAACCTCTACATATATCCCAAACTAACACATTCAAGATACTATTCCAACCACAAAATGTTACTCTATTATTTTGGAACTTTGTTTTTCTTATGGCTAGCCAGCTACTTCATACCCTACATGTACATTTACCAACTTTACACCCATTATATACATTTTCTTACTACTTGTTACTCAGTATCGATGCATTACACATAAGCTTACTGGTTTGAATTTTGAAAATACAAAAAAGTTGTTAAAATAGAAACTTCACTCAAAATATTTAATTAACTTTTTTGTCAAAATTGTCGTCGACAAAATGATAAATTAATAGATTCTTTACCGCAATATCATGATTAAAAATAATAGTCTCAATGCATGTTGCACGTTGTACTAATATAAGCAAAAACACAATGAACTACTTGGTACAAAGTTATTACTAACCTTACCAATCATATAAATTTAATACAAGACATTACATCTCTTTGTTTACATAATTATAGCAAAGTTAGCATTTGTGTGTGCTTCTTCTTCTGCTGTCTGCATTTGGGTAGTTGCTAAATTCTCTTAGCATTAACTTATTCACAGGCACCATTAAGTGGGGCTTTCAACTAATCTCACGATTCATATATACAAGAGCAACATCAACAACTATTGTTTTATTTGAACCCCGTTTTCTACACACACGTCCATTTATTGAATGAAGTTAGAGATAGCGTGTACAAATACACATACAAGTAACAGCAGCTAAAATAAGGGAATACGATGAGTAGGGGCCGGACGTTGGAGTTTTCCACATGGAGTAAGCTACAGATGCAGTGCAAATTAGGATCTGATGTATTGTGTTCAGAATTAACGTAGACATCTCTGCGTATAGCTAGGTTGTTCTGCTCAGCGAAATTTCTGGGTTAAGTTTGATGTATCTTTTCACATATATAGTTCTCTAGCATAAGTGCCACGCCCAATGAAGTAGACTAGGGATCATTCACAGCTTATTCTATTCTGAGATGTCGTGGTAATGTTATACATCATAAGTTACAGAGTTTACTTATGGTCCAATCATATGGCACTTTTCTTTTTCCCTACACAGATTCATATCTATTTCGCTCAACAGCTATGTAGTACTACTCATTATATTGTTTCCTCTCTCTCTCCATTCCAAAGAATTTTTTTCTTCTCTTTTACAGCAATTGTATATAATTAATACTTAATAACTGTAGTCTAGTTTTAATTGTTAGTTCTCTGTATTTAAAAAGTATAAGTTTTATTTGGGGGACTTTACACATCAATTAACCACTCTTACAACAAACATTTGATGTTGATATGTCATCCTTCGTGTGTGTATGAAGCTTTCAATATACATTAGTAATAGAATAGTAATCGAAGTTGGATATAGTATGTCCAAATGAATTAATTTAGGGTTAAAAAAACGCAATTAGGCAAAAAAAAACTAAGGATAAAGAGTAATGTTTTTGCTTTTATGTGTAAATATTTTAAAAAATTATACCCATTAAAAATAAAGAAAAGTGTAGGTTGATATTTTGGTGGAGCCTGACTTTTCTTAGGTGGTGTGTGTGATGTGAAATGATTAAAAAGAAATTGTGTATCTTTATAACTGTAAACGTGTTTTAAAGTCAAATTGACATTAACATATGAATGGAACCCAGTGAGTAGAATTAAAAGAATCCACAATGAGGAGTGAGTTGTAAACGTGATTGATGAGTTAACTAAATCTGATACCCAAATGAAAATGGCCAGAAGAAACCAAAATGGAGAGATATAGGTGTTACATGTAAAGATATCAAGAATCCGACGCTGGAAGCTGCAAAAATGTTTTCTAACGACTAGAGAGTGATGAAGGGTGTGGAGTGTCACTAGTCGAAATTGGAGACTCAAAAGATGAGAATTCTGGAAGAGCACTTTGGTTATTTACATTGTCACTTTGAGTTGTGGCATGCATGTGATGATGATAGGGAAGAGGACCATCACAGGGTGCTTTTTCTCTCTTTCTTATAGCAATAATTTTCTAAAGCAAAAAGTTTCTTGACATGACCGCCCAGTAAAAGGTTGTCTGGAGCAACGAGGATTCTTGCGTTCGCCTTAACATACGTGGATATTTTAAATTTCTTGACGTTTAATCAATGAGAAGAAAAATAAACAAGAGAAAAGAAAAATATCATCTACATTCACAAAAGGTTCTTTCGCAGATGAAGAAAAAGTAATATAAAACAACAACTTACTAATTTATAGGTAAAATGATGAATTGGTGGTTAAAAATGTACCCATGTTTTAATTTTGTACTAGAATTTAATTTAATTAAAATATTTTAAATACATTATTAAAATATAATTAGTTTATATATTATTATTATTATTAAAAATATAAAATAATTTTTATATTTGAAAGATTAAAATTATTTTTGCGATCTAATATTTATTTATCAATATTTCAGAATTAATTTTAAAAAAATACCCTTTAAAAGATAGTTCAGTCTAATTTAATTATCCATTTCACTATTAAATTAAAGATTCACTATTAACTTAGATGATGAAGTTGAATCTTATGCTGTTTGATGTAATGATAGGCTGTCATTGATCAATACTAATGAATGTGAGTTTTTTTTAAACATTAGTCTTTTGCTTTTAAAAAACATTAACATAAATGGAATGCTTAAAAATATGTAAAACACTCTCATACCATCAACATGATTAAAACTTAATTTGATGGCAAATATTGTATTAAAACACAATATAAAATCATTTAACATTAATATATATATATATATATATATATTATATATATATATTTATATATATATATATTTAATTTATAACAAAACAAGGTTAATTTTTATATATTAATTTGAATAATGAATAATATTTTTTTTTCTTATTCTTTGTACAAGTCCAAAGGAAGGGTTAAAAAACTAAAGATTGCAACAGTTTCTCTGTGTATGATTAGTATAAGACTCTAAGGGCAGACATAATAAGTGGATATTAGACACTCTTGATACAATAATGGCCAACAATAAATGACTAATTTGTCACTAAGTGCATTTCCTTAATTATAGTTTATCACTATAAATTGTTGTTTGTCTGCATCATCGGTGATTAGTGCATTCCCACTGCTCAGGGCTTTACATCCAGATATATATCTAAACTGTTTCCAATCATTATTCTTTAAACTACAAAAATTACTCATCTTCCCTCACTCATTAATTGCTTATTTAAGGAATATATCACATTTTCTTCTTCGCAACATTTATAAATATTACGAGCCAGATACAAATATCACACGAATTACTTATTATTATTTAAGGCAATCCAGTTCAACATATATAACTATGTCCTTGGCACAAGTTGAAATGAATTCAAATATTTCAATTTAAGTAACATTTTATATTCGAGTTTTTTTAGATAAAAAAAATTAAAACAAGGATTTGAAAATATTAAATTTATTACTTAAAAATTATAAATAATACTGCACTATAACTTTTGACGCGCATAAAGTTATATATATATATATATATATATATATATATATATATATATATATATATATATATATATATATATATATATATATATATATATATATATATATACTCTCACTTTACTTTCTATGCAAATAAATTGATAACTTAACCCTCTCACATTATTCCAAGGCAGCTTTAATACAAATAAAGTTGCAAAGCATGATTGAGGCAAAACCTTTGTAGGAAAAGTTACAATTGACATTCCAATCAATCATAATTTTCTCTCTATGTTGCAAACAAATATCTCAAATAACTTGTTACTCATTACAGTCCCTCCATTGACTAAAAAATTTATTCATATATATTTTTTATTTCATATTGAAAAACATACATTTTTTCTTTTTATTTTAAAAAAAGTTGATATTAGGAACTTCACATTCTGAGAATATGCTTCCAAATTATCTTTCAACTAAAAGTAACTTTTAAATAAAGAAGAAACATGAAGTTTGTCGCATCCTTTAATTTAAACCTACTTTTAGAACATTATTTTTAACTTTAACTTTGAAGCATCTTTCAAAAAATTATGTTCATCGCTACTAGTTATAATTCAAATAGTCATATTCTACACAAACTCAACTATCAAATCTCCAAGATTATGATAAAAAAGGAGAGAAATTTTTCAACATTTTTTTTTAAATATATCGCTTGACTCCTTTGTCAATAATCACTCCTAATACACTGAGAAGTTGTTGTATTCAATAAAATTGTAAAATAAAATAAAATTAACTTTAATTATGAAAAATAGAAGGAGAAGACTAAAATTTGAGATATAATAAATTATGCGATAAAGAAATAAAAAAATAGAAGTCATATAATATATATAAAACTGAAAACTATCTTCATATATGTATTGAACTAAGTATTATCTTAAAATTATTTATATAATTGGTTTATTATATATTAGTGTCATCTTTTAGTATTTCTTTTGTTAATTATCAACAAGCAATATATAAACATTTTTTCTTATGGACTGAAACTATATATAAGTTATATATATTTTTTTCTTATAAGTCCATAAAAACACCTTTCGAAAATTCAAACAATTAAAACTCAAATGATAATAAAAAAGAACCATACATGTTTTTATATTTCAATTCCGTAGTTATCAAGTTGAAAATAATGAGAATCAAACTATATAACCACACATAATTTCATTTCATATCAATTACTATACACTTTTATTTATTATAAACATAAATTTACATTATATGACCAACTTAAAAATTTAGCATTGGTACTTGTTTAAACTCTTGGGGTTTAAGAGGTTATTGATGGAAATAATCCTCTACCATTGAAGTTTTTTTTTTAATAATGAACTTTTTTTATTAATATTTATTAGTCTATTAGTTACACGTGTACCTTTTCCATTTGTTAGTATTGTTTTATGCAGGTTTGACTAACTGCATATTTGACTTTTTTCCTTTTTATATTTAACCTTCTTTTCTTCCTCAAACATATTGGGATTTTCCTTTTGTATTCGATCAGTATATGAATTAGATCAGCTTTTTCTTCTCTCGCTATTTTCTCCCAAATTCTCAATGGGATCCATATTTGTACGTTATGGTATCGAGAGCGGGTTAACACCCGCTCTGCCTCCACTGCATCTTTTCTGTTTCTCTTTTCTATCTTTCTCTGTTTCTTGATGGCTTCGTCAATTCTTCAACTCGCTAATAGCAATACAGAAACGCAAGCTGTGATTGACGAATCTTTGAATCCTTCAAGCCCGTATTATTTGCACCCAGGTGAGAATCCTGGAATGATTCTTGTTTCAAAGCAATTGAATGGTACGAATTACCATTCTTGGAGTAGGAGTATGCGCAGAGCTCTTCTTTCAAAAAACAAATTAAAATTCATCACTTGGAGCCATCAAGATTCCCCAAGAAGACGATCCTCTTCATGACTCATGGGAGAGATGCAATGTCATGGTACTCTCTTGGATAACTCGAACTTTAAGTGATCAAATTGCTCAAAGTACTTGTATATATTGATAATGCAAGAGATCTTTGGGAAGATCTCAAGGAACGATTCTCAAAAGGAGACCATTTTAGGACTTCGATCTGCTACAGGAATTGCACTCCATTAAGCAAGGAGAAAGAAGCGTTTCTGAATTCCATACAGATTTCAAAACTCTTTGGGAAGAGTTGGAATCCTTGCATCCCATTCCTAGTTGTACCTGCAATCTGCAATGTTCTTGTGAAGCCTTCAAAATCATTGCTCGTTATCGTGAATCCGAACATGTAATATGTTTTCTCGAAGGGATTAAATGACGTCTTCACCACTCGCAAAATCTCAAATTCTTTTAATGGAGCCTCTCCCAGGAATCAATCGTGTTTTTCGTTAATTCTGCAACAAGAACGACAATTGGCGGGAGTGAGTCACGTTGATGCCAAAACTCTTTTGACATACTGCTAATCAAGGACCTATTGTGAATTTTAACAATCAAGGAAATTGGAAAACTCAAGGACGTGGATCTTGGAAGAACCAAGGACGTGGACGTGGGAGGAATTCCAACTATGGTAAACGAGTGTACTTTTTGCAATAAATTGCACCATACTTGTTGATGAATGTTATGCCAAACACGGATTCCCTCCATGGTTTAAAAATAACAGAAATGATTCTGTTGTCAACACCTGTTATGACTGACAACGTTTTGAAAGAAGAAGAATCAAAAAATCAAGTGCACACTTGTTCAGAATAGTCAGTGACAGGTGAACAAGTTCAACAACTATTAAAACTTCGCAAGAAAAGAATCAAGACACTACTCATAGGGTCAATCAGTTTAAAAATAATAATGGTGATCAACAAGACTCCAAAGGTATTCTCTGTTCATCTTGGATTATAGACACCTGAGCTACTCGATCATGTAGCTTACAATAAAAATCATTTTTTAACTTTTACTAAAATCGACACTGTGCATGTGAAATTACCTAATGGTAATCATGTCACTGCTGAATATGCTTGGCACGATTTGTATTTCAAATAGCCTTACACTCTATAATGTTCTTCATATTCCCAATTTTGAATTTAATATAATTTCTGCTCAAAAACTGATTATTGATTCCAATTGTAAATTGATTTTTTCTTCTAACCATTGCAGATTCAGGATGTTCTTACATTGAAGATGATTGGGCATGCTGATCTGAAAGATGGCTTGTATTGTTTACGTAAACAAGATACTGTTTTTTCTTGGTCTCATATTAATAACATCAGTAATAATAGTTCAATTGTGCCTACTCGATGACAACACCAAGTATTAATACTCGCAGCAGAAATTATTCCACTTCCAATCTTTGGCACAACAGATTGGGACATCCTTCTAGCAAGATAATTGAAAATATGATTAAAGATTTTCCTTACATTCATAATAGCACTGAAAAAATTTGTGATGTATGTCATTCGGCCAAGCAACATAAACTTCCCTTTAATAACAGGTATTCATGTTTCCAAGTACAATTTTTGAAATGATTCATATAGATATATGGGGTCCCATTGGTATTTCTTCTATACATGGTCATAGATATTTTCTTACTATTGTTGATGATTTCTCTAGACACACATGTCTTTTTCTTATGAAGAATAAACATGAGATTAGGAGTCTATTGAACAATTTTATTATCCTTGTTAAAAACCAATTTGGTTGTAATATTAAAATTTTCGAACTGACAATGGGAAATAGTTTTCTTATCCTGAATTCTATGATAAAAATGGTATTATTCATCAAACTTCTTGTGTAGAGACACCTCAACAAAATGGAAGGGTAGAGAGGAAACATCAACACATAATGAATGTCACACGTAGCTTGTTATTTCAAGCCAATCTTCCAAAATGTTTTTGGTCCTATGTCTGTTGTTCATGCTATCTACCTAATCAACAGTCGCCAAGTAAAACCATAAGGAACCAATCTCCATTCCAAATTCTGCATAATCAACTTCCTATTCTTAATGATTTAAAAGTGTTTGGTTGTCTTTGTTTCACATCTACAATTCATAACAACCGATCCGAAGCTAGATCCTAGAGCCAGAAAAAGTGTTTTCCTTGGATATAAACCTGGCACCAAAGGTTATGTGACTCTTGATTTACATTCTAGAGAAATTTCTATATCCAGAAATGTGATATTCTATGAAAATGAATTTCCCTATGTTAAAACTAATATTGTTGATGACACTGATCTTTTCACATTGATCGCTTTTCAATTCTTTTTTGATTCTAACAATCTCATGCATAAGAAAGTCAGGTCTAATCATGTGCATCCGTTTTCAAATCCTCAAGATATTTCCTTCCAAGTGACAGAAGAAGATATTTCCAATCGAACACCTAACCAAGCCTGCTCCTCGAAGATCTACTAGAATGAGAAAGGCACCATATTATCTGCAGGATTTCCATTGCAATTCCTTAAGTACTGACAGCTCCAACAATTCAGATTCTTATTGCAATCCTCCAAGAGATGACAACACCAACAAATCTAAAAATAGTATCATTTCTTATCCTCTATCTTCTGTTCTCTCTTATAAAAAAATATCTTCAAAACATTTGAAATACATTCTTGCTATTTCTAACAATTTTGAACCTACTACTTATAAACAAGCAGCTTGTTACCCTGAATGGATTGATGCTATGCGTAAAG